CATTTTCAAAGGAATGCATACACTGCACAAAGAAAAGGAATACAGCCTGGATTAGAATACCTTTATTTTGTCTACTTAAATATTTGTCAGTGCTCCCTTAACCTAATTTACCAAAACAGTATATCCAGACCCATAGTATCCCAATGAATGCAATTATGAAGTGCGTTGATAAAAGTTATTGGTCTGCAAATTGCCAGAACTCCATTAACTTTAAAAGAATTGAAACAATTTATTGCATTAGTCCATTAATTCCATTTTATAGTTGAGCCATATCGAGGTTAAGGACTTGCTTAAAGTAACACATGAAGCCTGTGGCAGACTAGTTTTCCAGACTCACTGGCCCAGATCCTCAAAGGTATTTAGGGGCCTAATTCCCATAGATTGGCACCTAAATACCTTTGAGGATCTTGGCCTTGTCCTTTATTTTAACCCCTAAACCATCCTTTTCTTTAGAATAAATCCCAATTTCTCCCATATCATTTAGGATCATTGACTGAGCATTCTTTAAAAAGTAATTAGGGCTGTCAAGAGATTAAAAAAATGAATTGTGATTAACTGCACGATTAAAAAAACTAATCGCAATTAATTGTGAGATTAATCACACTGTTAACCAATAACAGAATACCATTTATTTAAATATTTTGGATGTTTTCGACATTTTCAAATATATTGATTTCAATTACAACACAGAATACCAAGTTTACAGTGCTCACTAGATATTTATTTTTTATTACAAGTATTTGCATTGTAAAAAACCAAAAGAAATAGAATTTTGCAAGTCAGCTGAGTACTGTAGTGCAATCTCTTTATCATGAAAGTTGAACTTAGAGATGTAGAATTATGTACAAAAAACCCCTGCATTTAAAAATAAAACAAAGTAAATCTTTAGTGCCTACAAGTCCACTCAGTCCTATTTCTTGTTCAGCCAATTGCTCAGACAAACAAGTTTATTTACATTTGCAGGAGATACTGCTGCCCTTCTTCTTCTTCTTCTTCACAATGTCACCTGAAAGTGAGAACAGGTGTTTGCATGGCACTGTTTTTAGCTGGCGTCGAAAGATATTTACATGCCAGATGCGCTAAAGATTCATATGTCCCTTCATGCTTCAACCACCTTTCCAAAGCACATGTGTCCAGGCTGATGATGGGTTCTGCTCGATAACAATCCAAAGCAGTGCAGACATTTGTTAATTTTCATCATCTGAGTCAGATGCCACCAGCAGAAGTTGATTTTCTTTTTTGGTGGTTCGGGTTCTGTAGTTTCCACATTGGAGTGTTGCTCTTTTAAGACTTCTGAAAGTTCCACACCTCATCCCTCTCAGTTTTTGGAAGGCACTTCGGATTCTTAAATCTTGGGTCCAGTGCTGTAGCTATCTTTAGAAATCTCACAGTGGTACCTTCTTTGCATTTTGTCAAATCTGCTGCGAAAGTGTGCTTAAAATGAACAACATGTGCTGAGTCATCATCCGAGACTCTTATACCATGACATATATGGCAGAATGCAGGGAAAATAGAACTTGAAACATAAAATTCTCCCCCAGTGAGTTTAGTCACAAATTTAATTAATACATTATTTTTTTATGAGTGTCATCAACATGGAAGCACGTTCTCTGGAATGGTGGCCGAAACCTGAAGGGGCATATAAATATTTGGCATATCTGGCACGTAAATACCTTGCAATGCTGGTTACAAAAGTCTTATGCAAATGCCTGTTCTCACTTTCGGGTGACATTGTAAATAAGAAATGGGAAGCATTATCTCCCATAAATGTAAACAAACTTGTTTGTCTTAGCAATTGGCTGAATGAGAAAGAGGACTGAGTGGACTTGTAGGCACTAAAGTTTTGCATTGTTCTGTTTTTGAGTGCAGTTGTGTAACAAAAAAAATCTACATTTGTAAGTTGCACTTTCATGACAAAGAGATTGCTCTACAGTACTTGTATGAGGTGAATTGAAAAATACTTTTTCTTTTGTTTATCATTTTTACAGTGCAAATATTTGTAAAAAAATAATAATATAAAGTGAGCGTGTACTCTTTGTATTATGTGTTGTAATTGAAATCAATATATTTGAAAATATAGAAAAACATCCAAAAATATGTAATAAATTTCCATTGGTATTCAATTGGTATTGTTCTATTGTGCAATTAAAACTGTGATTAATTGTGATTAATTTTTTAATCACAATTAATTTTTTTGAGGTAATTGCATGCGTTAACTGCAATTAATCGACAGCCCTAAAAGTAATTAAACGTGATAGACTCAGATTTTCCCTTCGGATATGGCTGCCATATGTTACATTCTGAGAGAGTAAAGTGCAGACAGGATGTCAAGGTTCCTCCCCCACTCTGAACTCTAGGGTACAGATGTGGGGACCTGCATGAAAAACCTCCTAAGCTTATCTTTACCAGCTTAGGTCAAAACTTCCCCAAGGTACAAAATATTACACCCGTTATCCTTGGAATGGCCGCTACCACCACCAAACTAATACTGGTTACTGGGGAAGAGCTGTTTGGACGCGTCTTTCCCCCCAAAATACTTCCCAAAACCTTGCACCCCACTTCCTGGACAAGGTTTAGTAAAAAGCCTCACCAATTTGCCTAGGTGACTACAGACCCAAACCCTTGGATCTGAGAACAATGAAAAAGCATTCAGTTTTTACAAGAAGACTTTTAATAAAAAATAGAAGTAAATAGAAATAAAGAAATCCCCCCTGTAAAATCAGGATGGTAGATATCTTACAGGGTAATTAGATTCAAAAACATAGAGAACCCCTCTAGGCAAAACCTTAAGTTACAAAAAAGATATACAGACAGAAATAGTTATTCTATTCAGCACAATGCTTTTCTCAGCCATTTAAAGGAATCATAATCTAACACATACCTAGCTAGATTACTTACTAAAAGTTCTAAGACTCCATTCCTGTTCTGTCTCTGGCAAGAGCAGCATACAGAGAGACCCAAACCCTTTGTTTGTCTCCCTCCCTCCAGCTTTTGAAAGTATCTTGTCTCCTCATTGGTCATTTTGGTCAGGTGCCAGCGAGGTTACCTTTAGCTTCTTAACCTTTTACAGGTGAGAGGAGCTTTCCCCTGGCCAGGAGGGATTTCAAAGGGGTTTACCCTTCCCTTTATATTTATGACACAGGATATGCACCTTTCTTTTAAAAATAAAAAAGATATGCTTGGAAACACCAAAATTTGTAGTCACACTCACACTGCAGCTATAGTGTAATTAGCCAAAGAATTGTAAAACATGCAGAATTACAAATGGATTTTCTAAAAAAAATCCCAAACCACTCATTAAAAGCTGCACAGATGCCTATGACTCACTTAAGTCCCCCTTTTCTTTATCACTAACTTCTCTAGTGTTTTTCTTGAAAGCTAAAGGAAGTATTTAGATTGCTTTTGTTATTTTAGAGCTGCAATTCAGTGCTTGCTACTTCACACTAATGCTGAGGAGACACAGTAAGGCAAAGGCAGTGTGCACTACAAAATATACATTATTCGTTTTTTTTAACAAGTGCAGTTTCACTTTAATCATACACTAATTGATTAAGGATATTAGAAATATTTTGATAATCTTAGTAATTTTAATCCTTGTTACCACAGCATTGTGTGTGCAAATTGTGCATTGGCAGATTTTGCAGGCGTCACTTGTGCACAGCTGAAAGTGTTATGCTGTAAACTCATTGCTTTTCTGCAATGTTAGGTTAATATATTAAAATAATTAGCACAGATGGGCCAGAACCTTAGCTGGTGTAAACAGACAAAGCTCCATTGGAAGACTTGGCCTTTTATGTATGTAGAGATTATAGCTGAAGTTAAAAAGCTTTAAGTTCATTTGTGTAGTAGGTAAGCAAAGAAAGCTTTAATTGTCTCTTCCCTTGTAAGTGTCGTCTATTAAAACGTTTTGCTCATACTACTTTTATTTGAATGGCTTTATTTGCAAATAAAGTTGCCCAAATGGGTTTTGTGTGCAAAGTACTGGCATGATCCTCTGAGGTGCTAAGAACCATCAACAGTTGAAGTCAATGGGAGATGAGGACAGTGAATAAAACACAAATGTTCAGCACTTCACAGGCTCACACCATCTATTGCTTACATGCAGAAATGGAAGCTGAGTTGGGACCTCACTGAAAGTTTCCTTAAAATTTCTTCTGCTGAAAGTTGAACCATAGTCCCTTTGAGACCACGCATTCAGTGGCAGGAGCTCCTGTTGTTCAGCTCAGTTTCAGACACGTTCCCACCCAGGAATTAAATACTTGTTCAGTTGAGTTTGCCCCAGTAGAAAAGTCTACCTGCCAGTTGACCTAGGCCTTGTCTGACTACATGAGAAAAATCAGTACAGAACAAACACCCACATGGGCAGTAGCATTGATGTAAGCAGGCCTGAAGTGTTTAACCAAATGCGTCATGAAAATCTACTCTGATTATGTTTCCATTACAGGCTGGTAAGATACCTGAGCCCTATCTACACTAGTGCTTTGGCCCAAGTACAGCATTGCTGTCGTAATGCTAGTACTGATTTTGTAGTGTAGATGAACCCAGAAAGTGTCTATGAAAGGGCATTAGGAAGGATTGAGGCCAGAACAAACCCCCTCAGCATCAGGCATCACCTCCCATTGTAATTATACTTAGTGCTTGTGTATACTAGAAAGTTGTCTCACTTTAGCAGTATAACCCTTGAGAGCTAACAGTTGTACCGATGTAGGAGCGCTTGTAACAGTATAGCTATTCCCACAGGGAAAGAATAACTATACAGGTAAGGCACCTTGACACTGGTGTAACTGCATCCACACAAGGACTGTTATCAGAAATCACACCCCTAACCACAATACTTATGCCAGTATAACTTAAAATGTATTCTTGACTTCAGCTAAGGCCTAGTTCAGACTAAAGATAAAGAGTCTGGATTTGCTTTTTAAACCCCTGAAAAAGCACAAACTTGACGGGATTTGTGAAGGAAAAGGTGTTTTTTAAATGAAAAAACTTGACAGTTTACAGAAATTTTCTCAAGATTTTACTGCAAACCAATGGGTTTGGTCACCAAAAAAAAAAAAAAAGTACATAACTATGTTAATTACATTACAGTGATGGTGTACATTTACAAGCCAGGCTGTAAGTTTAAATATACATCTAGAGTTACAACTGAATGTACAGACTTTTTTTATTTATTTTTTTTACAATACATACAATGCAAACCTTCCCCTCCCCTTCCCCCCCCCATAATGCCCACTTTACAGATGACAACTTTAAAAAAAACAAACAAGAAATAAACCAACAGCTTTGACCAACTGCAGCTGGGGCATTTTGGCCCATAAAAACCTTTCTAAAAATAGAAACTTTTCATAGCAGCAATGCTTTCTTCAAGCATTTGGATATAATTAATTGTGAGCCCATTTCAATAATTTTAGTTAACTGTATATTTACAAAACAAAAATCAATTTCTACACTTAATTTATCTTCCAAATATGGAAGAAACAAACAATGCCCCACATTGTAGTGTCCTGCAAGTGTCACATTGGTGCTTTAAACTAAGTCCCTCTGTAGTATGCATATCACACTCATACCATTTGTTCACATAGTAAACCCACATAACTGAACTGAGAAACACTCTACAACAGGAAAAGTTTGGAGCTTAACTCGATCTCATCAGAAAAAAAGGCACGTTTCATAAAATCCTCGTCACATCCAGGTCTTCAGGCAAGGCTTTTCAGAACATTATTTCCAAACAGCAGGTTATTATTCCTACAATCTACCATAACAGGCTATGGCAACAGTCATTTCTTATGTTCTTTCCCAAGGAGATAGCACCACTTTGGGGGAAGAACGAATCAAAATGCTTGTAAGCTTGTTTAGAGGAGTTATGTGCTGTTTGAAAGAAAAAAAAAAAAAGCTTCCAGCAGTGTAGTTGAAATTAAGGCTGCAAAGCTGCCATGGTGGAGATGTGCAAATTCTGTTTCAAGATGACTGGTCAACTGGCAGCTCAGCCAGAAGGCCAATATAATAATTAAAAACCAAGAAGAAAGGAAAACAAATGTTCACAGGAAAGAATCCATGGGTGGGGCATACGAAAAGCCCAGAAAGGCTTCAGCAGCTTCCTGGACACTAGCAGTAATGAGGATACTGTCGGAAGATTGGCCAATGGAGTTGGGGACTGGCTCATCGGTAAACTCGGGGTCAAAGTGTCGCAGATCACTCGGACCACTCTGTGGAAAAGAAAAAAAGAAAACAAGTGTTTAGTCCCCAATCTCCATTTTTCATGATTTCACAGATCAATTCAAAATGTGAAGACTCTTGTAGGGGACTCACAGTGTTATTACCTCGGACTCACTGTTTAACAATCTTGGACAATTTTAGATTGACTTTTTTGTTTTGAATCTTGCTGCATATGGTCTCACTAAAAACAAGATGATTCATTTTCAATGTATTGCCCTCCAACTAGCTCCGTGCAATAAAGCAAAACAAAATAATCACTCCACTCTCCTATACTGCAGTTTATGAAGCGGTGCCTTGGCAACTTGCAGTAGTAGACCACATTTAAATAAAAAAACTTTATCTAAATAACCAAGGTGTGCTTGTAGTTGTATATTATAATTTGACAAGATAGAAAATCTGTTTTGGGGCAGTTATTTAATTTCGGTCTCTTAGTTTCCGCATTTATAAAGTCAGTAAGAACTAAGTTCCCGGGTGTGTTCGAGAATAACCAATGTTTATGTAGAGACAATCTAAGTGCTAGATTTTACTATCCAACTATTTAAAAAAAATCTATCAATAATCATTTTTCTGCTTATCCCCTTTAGTTAGAGCAAAAAAGTATGGTTACATTTTAGCCAGCTGCAGATGGCCTTTGGGCCACACCCTGATGTAAGGGGCAAAAAGCCCTCTCTACATTCTATAATTAGATGTGATACTTACCACATTTGGGTTAAAAGGAGGTGTAATCTTCTTATTAATAAGATCATCCCAGTTAATTGGGGAGAAGAAGATGTGATTCTTAATCTCCATCTGTTAAAGAAAAATTAGATTAATTCAGACAAGAGTAATTGAATAAGAGTGATGTGATTTAATTATTTCTTATACCATACACAGGAACTACAAAATTGTACTTACGAAGTCCTCCTTAGCACCAACTCTCTTTGTCCTATCCTTTTGTAACAGGCCTTCCAGAAGGTGTCTAGCAGAATTGGTAATATTTGGTTTCAATTGCAGGGGTTTGTTCAAGATATTGTCATACATTTCTGCTGTGTTCCTGCTGTAGAAGGGGGGCTGTGAGAAAGAAATAAAAAAGGTTAATAAGTCTATAAGTGCTTAATAAAAATTACAGATATGTGCATTCTACTATAATACCACGAGCTATTCTTATCTTCATGCCATGTGCTGCCCTTAATCCATACACAGAATTCTCAATGAGGATGAGGGCAGCAGAGGACATTGGTCAGGGTCATCATCTTAACTGAAGCCACAAGTGTAGGTAATAAGTCTGGAATGTTTTCTTGTAAGAACTAGAATAAGCTATACATGGGCAACTAAAATACCTGTTACTTACCAATCCATAAAGCATCTCATACAAAACTGCTCCAAGGCACCACCAGTCAACAGTCCTGTCGTAGGGCTGCTTATGAAGAACTTCAGGAGCAAGGTACTGTTAAACAGAAGAACGAGAAGCATCATATTAGCCAGAGGCGGAAGAATCTTAAGACAGAAACAAAATCCACACCAAACAAACCTATGTTCTTGAACTACAAGAAAAGCCTCCTAAGCTTATAGTTAAAATGTCATTTATATACACAACGGCTAGCTTGACAGCAGTTCCCATTGCATGGGGAATCATTATTCACCGGAAGGCTATCATTTTAAGGATCTTACTTTCTCCCATTTATCTATTCCATTGTAACTCTCCATCAGGTGTGCACATTTACTGTTGCCTCATCTACTCTTATCATACAGTTTATAGACAAACATTAACCATTTCAGAAATCAGAGCTAAGCATACCTCAGGTGTGCCACAAAACGTGGAGGTAGTGCCATTGTGTTCTATGTTCTCTTTGCAGAGTCCAAAGTCAGTCAAGATAATATGCCCCTGAGAATCTAGCAAGATGTTCTCTGGCTTCAAGTCCCTGTAGCAACAAGAGTTTAACAGAAATGTTAGTTCTTCTCAGTTAAAAAGTATTCTTAGTATTTTATGAGCATATGTATAGATTTTGCAAGTCTTTAAATTCTGAGAAAGTATTTTGAAAGTAGTTGTTTTAAACTAATATATATTGAAATCTACTTTACACAGATAAGGTACAAAATATGCATTTATAAATCATGCCTAAACTGAATTACACATTGCTTACCGATAAACTATGTTCAGAGAGTGCAAGTAACCCAGTGCACTGGCTATTTCAGCAGCATAAAACCGTGCTCTTGGCTCCAGGAAGCAACGTTCCCTCTGGAGATGGTAGAATAACTACAGGAGACAGAAAGAACAAGTTCTGTAAATGGTGCCAAAGCCTGTTAACAATGCATTTAATTAGACTTGACATATATAGCTAAAAAGAACAATAGCAGGAAATGGCCTAATGATCCTCTAGCAGTTTGAAACCTGGCAGACGGACGATGCTAAATCTAATAACTTTTCCCCTTGGAACTTTCTTTCATTTTTTTTTTTTAAAACATGTGCACCACTGTGCACATGTTAGGAATTATTTCATTCACTTGCTGCTTACCTCTCCACCATTGATGTAGTCAAGGACAAAGTACAATTTGTCTGCAGTCTGGAAAGAAAAGTGGAGCCCAACCAGGAAAGGGTGTTTCACATTTTTCAGCAGGACATTGCGCTCTGACATTATGTGTTTCTCCTAGAAATAGAAAAAAAAAAAATCAGTATTTAGTTACAAAATTTGCTAACTAGTAGTAATTAACTATATTTGGTAGTTGCATCGCTGTATTGTGAACAAGGAGATGCTTACCTCCTTCTTTTTCAGGATTGCTTTCTTCTGCAGTACTTTAACAGCATAGAATTCTTCTTCCGCCTTATGCCTTGCAAGGAGAACCTGAAAGAGGTTAAAAATCCCATTACTTCAATATGTTGGAATACAGAGCAGAATATAAACACAGCTGTGAGAGACTATATCCAAAGCCCTTTATGCTACCACTGAGCGCTATTACCACTCTATGCTACCAGCTGCTTGTGGAAGCATTTTGCTAGCAACATCTAGCATTATCAGCAAAATGCCAGCCAGAAAAGCTGTGCATTTCAACTTTAAAGGGTTTTGTTTTTTTTAAATGGCTGATTCTCCTGGCTTCAAAAGCTACCCTCCCTCCACTCCTGCATAAGGGATCAACCCCAATTAATTATCCTCTCCTTAACTAAAGCACCCTGCCCCACCTATCCCCTGCAGGGCAAGCAACTTCCTCCTCAAAGCTGTGAAGTGCCCTCCTGACAGTGAAGCACTAGAGAACACATGAAGAGATTTTGCCACTCTTGTTACTAAAGCGTGCTGGCTATAACCCCAACCCTTAAATAATTACATGCAATAGCAGCTAACTGACCAAATTAAGGTGGAAAGAAGTAGAACATACCTTTCCAAAACTTCCTTTTCCGATAACTTTTAAGAAATGAAAGTCTGATGGCTTGGCGTGTGGGTTGGATGATGGACCAAGATTGATCTGCTGTGATGGGCTGGGCTGTAATTTTATAAAATACATTTGTTAAAAGATGTTTATTGGAAATTCTTGACCACAAAGGGTTTTTATATAAATCTAATCATGGATTTAAAGATTAAATTTGAGTTGGATACATTAAATAAAGTCTATGTCCTTTTTCCCCAAGTTAGCATCGGATTACATTCAACTGTTTTTGTACCACCTCAAATGACAAATTATGAGAACAATGCGCACTACTTTAAAATCTCATTGAGGAATTGGCTGTTTTCCATATTTAGGCGATATGTAATGTATCATTTAAAAAAGAAAAGGTAGGGGTTTTATTCTAAATTGGTAACTCCTTTTTGAAGTTACATCACTACACTATGAGCTGAACTAAAAGGGACACTCTTGTTATGTTGCTAATTTACAGAAAAGCTATTTTTAAACATGTTTCTATTACTGAAAATGATTCACACAATGAAGACTACTTACTGGAGGGGAAGGATTAGCATTCATAAGTTCAGGCTCTTCAGGCTGGGAGATCTTCAAAATAGACTGAACTTCAGGGCTGCAAAGATTAGAGAATACATTATTGGAACAGGTTTCAGAGTAGCAGCCCTGTTAGTCTGTATCCGCAAAAAGAAAAGGAGGACTTGTGGCACCTTCAAGACTAACCAATTTATTTGAGCATAAGCTTTTGTGAGCTACAGCCCACTTCATCGGATGCATTCAGTGGAAAATCCAATATTATTGGAACAGTTGCTCTGTGCAACAGGAAGACACATCTCACCTCTAGGGGGCATGCAAGCATTCTACTTATTAAGAATAAGTTTCAGTCTGGCAGACTACTGGGACAGTCTATTCATTTCAAACTAAAATGAAACTAGGATGGGCTGGTCTTTAGAAACCAAAACCAATGCGTGCTCTCTGGTTTTATCTATGCCAAGTAAACTCAGTAAAGTTTCAGAGTAGCAGCCGTGTTAGTCTGTATTCGCAAAAAGAAAAGGAGGACTTGTGGCATCCGATGAAGTGAGCTGAAGCTCACGAAAGCTTAGGCTCAAATAAATGGGTTAGTCGCTAAGGTGCCACAAGTCCTCCTGTTCTTTTTTCAGTAAAGTTCGTTATATAACTAATAATATTATAAGAAAAAAATTATCTTGTGACAATCATGAATACAGAAATATTTCCATCATTAAAATGCAAGTATCGCTTTTCCGATCGATATGTACAAAACTGCTGCTACTTACTGCTTGCACGGGTAGGAGCTGGTGGCTATTTTTTGAATGAAGTCATTTAGCCCCATTCGTCTCTGTTTCATGAAAGCTGCAAATAAAAAGAAAAGAGTTACGACCGGGTATCCAGAACCGGCGTTTCTGAAAAAGAGACTCGGATACTTTGTTCTGACTTTCCGGTTCAAATGAACGAGGCCATCCAAAGCAGCTGTACCCCCAGAGAAGAGACGTGGTCACCCGACCTTTCATCACTTCAGACTCACCGATGAGTATTGCAACAACTCCCCGCATCTTTGAATACGTTAACGTGGGTCCAGACGCTTCGGCTCTGACTGTCATTGCGGAGCTCAGATGTGGGCCGGTGAAGAATAAGCCAAGCTGATGAATGAGTTAGTCCAGGGAAGCGTGGGCCGCTCTCTGTGCAGCCGGTGATCAAGGCAGTGCTGCCGCGCAGCTCGCCGAGCGGGTTTATGTAGAGACCTCGCCGAGGCGGGGGGAGAGGGAGGAGCCAACGAAGAACAACAATGCGGAAGAGGGAGTCTGGCTTCCAGGCGCCCGGAACGGCTCGGACTCGTACAGCTGGCGCCCGGCCCGTGGCGCTGCCCCGCCCTGCCTGGCTTCTTTGACGTTCGAGCGAGCCGGGGAAGGAGCCGGCCGGCCGGCAGGGAGCCCAGCGCTCTGCCGCGGGGGGGCAGGGACGCGGCGGCATTCCAGGGGTGTGCATGGCCATACAGTACAATAAGGCGCTGGGATCACCTTCACCCGGCTCCGCGGGACTGGGGGGACGGGACGACACACGTATTCTCCCGCCCCGCTGCCCACGGAAAGAAAAGCATGCCGCCTGTCCCTTTTCTCCTGCATGCGGCTTCCATTTCCACGGGGCTTTGAATTGTGGCAAAGCTGAGAAGTTGGCAGCTTTGAAAAGGATGCAAGACGTGTGTGTTTCAGCCCTAGCTTTTCTGTGGCCTTCTTCCGTTGCAAAGCCTGCACACTGGCTAGCTAGCTCTGGCGACTCTCTCTCGCTAGAACGAGATTCCTGTGTGTTATCCCCCGGCCCGTTTTTTTTTTTTTTTTCCCCCTCTTCAAAAAGTTCAGCCAGTGAACCGTTGGAGTCAGCGGATACTTGTGGCTCACGTGTATATCGCGCTGAGCCCGATGCATTTCAATAGGGGGAGGCAAAGGAATGCCCATTAACTAACTGTCCCTGTTAGCAGCTTGCAAATGTTGGCACCTAACAACTTCGAAGGGGGACCTTTGTCTCTATGGCTAGAGATCTGTCAGCTGTTGTCATTCTGTGTCACCCGGGTCACACCGTCCGACTAATGGGGACAGCCACCTGGATGCACCACTCGTAACTAACCCCCATCCCACCCCAAATTACAGCAACACATTTAAAGGGGAAGGACCGGAGCTTCTTACCAACCCTAGTTAGAAGCAAAAACTCCCATTCTCCTGCGCGGCCAACTCCTCCAGCCTGAGCTGTTTTTTGCTGTACAATGGGATTGTGGCTTGTTTTGCCCTTGTGCGGAGGAGACTGTCTTTCGGCAGCAGCAGCTTGAGCCGCTGCCTGGGGTGAAGGGCGATAAGAAACTCTGACGTTTCCTTGAAGGAGCCGCAATGACTCAGGAGAAGAAGATTTCCTGCCGGCTTTTAGGAGAACAAACACATGGCCCGGATTGTGTGCATTGCCCGGATCCCTGCCGGGACGTTACAGAAAATGTTTTTTAATGCTTTGGGCCGACGAGGCAAACAGCCAACGAAACATGCAACCCGTTAGGACTTGGGAAAGGAGGAGGGGGGGGAGGAAGGGAAAGGGGGGGCAGGGATGTGCACATAGTTTGCGTTTGCAAAAGAACAAAAAAAGGCCTCCTCGAGCTGAGATTTCAACGTCACTGGCGAACAGTCTGGGCCCGGGTTCATTGTTGCTTTGCAGTGGCACAGGGGAACACGTGGGTTTTGTTGATGAATGAAGGCTCTGCGGAGGGACGCCGGGTGACCTGGGGTGGGGGTGACACGCAAGGCTGGTGGCGCGGTGGGTGTACTTGGGAGGGCGACTGACAGACTTGCAGGCTGGGGAAAGCGTGTGTGGAAAGGTGGCTGCGTTTCAGCGCCAGCTGCAGCCGGCCACATTCCGATTCACTTCATTCATTGCAGTTTTGAAGAAGTGTCCTCAAAATTGTGAAATGCCCTACCCCGCGCCGCCCATCAGAGGCGGGTGGGAATTTCCATCACAGCAGGATTCTTTGTGCATATACTTCAGCTTGTAATATGATCGAGCTGCAACGTGCCCCTCCCAATGAATGTTGCCCTCCTGTGTGCAATCCTCGCCCCCCCCCCATCACCATTGGCCGGCATGCCCCTACAGCTCTTTGATTCGCGGGGGGAGGGGGGGAACTACATCAAGAGATGCAGTTGTTTTCTGCTGCTCTGAGACTGCAATTCGGTTTAAAGAGAGAGCTGAGAGGTAATGGTAATAGGAATGGCCCGGGGTGGGAAATTGCGCCGTCCGTACGCGGGAAGTCATGCAAAGACGGCACAGTGCTGGATAAATTTTAAGGCAGAGAATGAAGGAGTTACTGCCGACCGGCTCCCCAGCCTCACGTGTCTCTGGAAGGGCCCCCCACACCCCTCCCCAGACAGATCCGGGACCCTGAAATTGCGTCTCCTCTCCTCGCGTGTAAAGGGCTTTCGGAACGAGAGGAAACAGCCACGCCAAAGCCACAGCTGGTTTTGGGGAGAGGCGCGGTCGCAGAGCTGGGGCAACTGCTCAGTTCCTCCGAGCTCCGGTTTCTTCCACTTCTTGCTTTGCCTAGCTGGGTTGCAAAACTGCCCCTCCTGGACGAATCTGAGCTAGGCAACGTCGCAAATTCCAATCATCTGCTAAGGCGGCGGAGAAGCGAGTCAGCTCGCCCTGTTCGTTCCCTTTGTTCTCTGGATTCCCGTAAAAATAACCCCTTCCACCCTCGCCATACGGCAAGCGTGTTGTTCTCAAGCCCCGAATCCCTCCCTACGGATTGCTCGGGGCCGGGGACTGTTTGTTGCCCGGGCTGCTCCCCCATTATTTTCCTCCCGGCTACACAACGTAGCGCTTTGCAGCCCCGGGCAGCCCAAACTGTCACATGCAATGGAGATGCGCATCTGCCGAGCGCCCCACTCCCTCGCTATGCTCTGCAAACTGCCAGCGCTTTGCCTGCGCCAGGGGCCCCCCTGTGCACCGCAGCATTCCTCCCGCCACATGCCATTGCTGCACCACACAGCACTCTCTCTCCGTCCCCCTGCGCCCGTCCTCGCCCCCACCCCAGCGCCCACCCTTTCCCTGTGACACCTCTGCCAGGGTCTCTTGTCAAGCCTGCCCTGGCTGCACCGCAGCTCTGCAGCGCCTTCCCCCTCCCGGTTCCTGCTTGCAGGCACCCGCTGTCAGCATGGCTCTCTCAACGCGTCGATCACTGGTTCCCCGCAGACCCTCTTCTCCAGACCCCCGGCCTCACGCCACCCCAGTTAAAGAGCAACAAAGCTGGAAATGCAGCCTCGGTTCAGGCCCTGTTGTACCACCCTGGTTTTCAGGTCTCCTTCCTCTTTTGGTGAAAAGGTCATTAAAGTCCTTATCAAATGTCAGGTACTCAGCCTCCTCCGCTCTCCAAACAGGAATATCACTGTTACCCGTACAAGTTTCTTCTCAGAGCCTTAAACAAGCCAGAGCCAGACTGAAACAATATTAAAATTAAACCAACCTGTTAATGAAGGCTTCTCTTCTGTGCCTCTCATTTCTCTCTCCCCTCTTAAAATCCCACCAAAGTAATTTTGAAACAGGGCTCTGATGCTCTGGCTGGGTTCTTATGTATTGCTATAATCCCGAATAACCTCCCCTCCTTGGCCGGCCTGGAGCTGAAGGGAAGTGGTGAGAAAGTAGCGGCGGATTTTGCTTGCTGGCGCTGCCCAGTTTATGAACCCCATATTCAAGGTGATTTACATACAGGAGATCAGTAGAGTTCAACATTGGCCACGCCGCACACTCTGCCCCGTTGCAACACAGCCCTGAGAGTTACAGTAATCACCAGTTTATTACAAAGTGCGGCGACCAGAAATGCAGGTCTGCTGTAATTGACCTGTCAGAGGCAATCACCCAGGGCGAATTCCCAGCACCCAGTCCCGCAGCCTGCAGAAAGCTCACACAGGCTTAGGGTGACCAGATGTCCCGATTTTATAGGGACCCTCCCGATTTTATAGGGACCATCCCGATTGTGGGGTCTTTTGCTTATATAGGCTCCTATTACCCCCACACCCCTGTCCTGATTTTTCACATTTGCTGTCTGGTCACCCTGCACAGGCTCCATGTCCAAGGGGCGAGGGTTTGCTGCCGGCCCTCCACAGTTTGCCTCTTGGCTTCCTGTGAAAACGATCGAAGAATAAAGAAGAGGAGTCGCCGGTCGTGTTAGCTGTCGGGACGGAAAAGGAACAGGGGCCAGGCTCTTTGGCTTGGTGGGACACCTCCCCCCGCCCTCCACTTCCATCCTCTTTCTGCAGCAGGAGGAGACAGATGGGCTCCTGAGTTTATCGTTTAAAAGAACAGAGTGGAGTTGTTGAGACTGGCGTTCCCTGCCCACCGGATAGCGGACGGGTGGAACAGGCGCCCCCTGTCCAATCCTGGCATCTAAATACTTCCGAACAGGAAAAAGAGAGATATATCGGGCTCTCCCTCCCCCCATGTCTCTTGCCCGGTTGTAGCCTACTGAGGTGTCTTTTCCTCCCTCGCTGTCTCTCCCTGCGCACACAATAGGCACATGTCCCCCGTCTGGAGACAGAGCCGCCAGCGTGTTCTTCGGCACAATTGCAGCCGCTGCGTCATTGCCACTTGGCCAGTAGGGGGCGATCATGCTTTCTCCCGTGGAAGAAGAACCATAAAGCATGGCTAGCGTGGGATTTTTAAATACTGCTGTAATCAATCCCCAATGGTAATCCGTACATGGCAGATTTTCGAACGGGGAAGCTGTGCTCCTTAAGGCCGAGGAAAAGACACGTTTGTTTCTCTTTTTTTAGTGGATCGTTTTCACTAAGGACTCAGTGAAGGTTTAGAGCTGTCTATCGTGCACT